CCTACTTTATTTAAGGTGACAATGAGACCGGTAGACTAGAAAAACTTCTTATAATCAAAAAATTTGTTTACTTTCCCAACCATCTTGTGACTTGAGTTCAGATAGGGATACCAAACTTTCCTCATTTTGCACTGTAAATAGTTGGCACTTGTTCCTTTTGGTATGTAGTATCTAAGTATATGGCATTCATAGTTTGCTGTTAAATAGCTTATGACAATCTTAGCTGTTAGTAACAGTATTTCCAGAGCGCAAGTGCCAGCAGGTTAACCCTAAAATATTTTTTTAAAGTCCTAATGAATTTTCGGAGGATTTCTTCAATAGCCACAGTCACTCAAGATGAACTAATCATATAAAGCTTTATTTTTTATTAAGGCTGCTAGGCTATTATTCTTATTTTAGGCCTTTACACTTATATTACAGAGCTAATTGGGAAACACTTTTTGCTATCTTTTTCCTTCGCTTACTGATTTTGTTAAAATGTTAGAATCATTTAATCAATCGGAAGGTTGTTACATTACTATTTCACCAGGCCTGCTTTTTGAATGGGTTAATCAGAGACTGATCTGTTTGTGATTATGAAAGATTATGTATAATAATAATAATAATAGGATATATTAACTTTATTTGTATCTTTCCAAAAGGGATATTAAGTCTGGACGGAATCATATTTGTTTTTTATCTTTATTATTACGCATCGATATGTAAGCTGTGGAACAAAAAAATTTTGATTAAGCACCTATCTAACGGATGGACTATCATTATGCGAAGATCCAGGATTACCAAAGATTGGCCATTTGCTTTCCAAACTATTTGTCAATTCGCCTTCAGGTATAATTAGAAGAAGCTTGACATCTAGACAGAAAAAATTTCTCGTAGTAGGTATGTGCCAAGCAAGGGGAACAGCAAAAATTGCAACCAAACGCTGAGTTGAGGGTGTTGAATAAGAATTGGGACTAATTCGCACGCCCTTCATTTAGGTAAATTTGTGCCAGCCAAGACATATAAATCAAAATTAAATACAACAAAAGCGCATTACCACTACTTCATTAGTATGAAATACCCTGTTTCGGTTACTAAACTCTCAAAGATGTTATTTGCATGAATAGTGATTTGTTTCAAATAAAGTATAGTTGGAAATGAGCTGGTGAAAAATTCCGAGATTTGTTATTATTTAAAATATTACTTAATTAATCGTATTAATGATGAATATATCTGTCCATTTGTGAAGTTCCTCATTCCCATTGACGGACCTCTTTATTTGTCATATTCGTTTATTTACTACTCTTATAGCTTTTTTTCATTTAAAGGCCATTTTTGTTCGCTTTTTTTACTTTCATTCTTGGTAAAAGTCAAAACCAGCTGCAAAAATCAAGCAATTTCCAATCAGTCTGCTGTTAGGTCACATGAGCCCTCCGAATCAAAAATCCGTCAACAGGCCACTTCTACGCCAAGGGATCCTGAACATATGTCTGTTCTACCGTCTGCGCCTTATGATTCTGTAGCTCGCGAGCAGCTTCGTGAACTCGTCCGACGGCAAAGAGAAGCCCATCACATAAGAAAGCGTTGCGAGGTTCAACTTCAGCTAGATGCTCGTGAGCGAATTAAACGCAACCTCGCCGCTACTGCCGCTGCAGCTTCCGCTGCTGCTTCTACAGCAGTGCCACCCTTTCCGGCCTCCTCTTTTTCTGCAAAGTTGCCCGCCAAACAAGAGCCGGTTCGGCCCCCAAGGGTCAAACATACTGATTTTCGTTTGCACTGTCCTCTAAAAGAGGAAATCTTTCCTTTGGTAAGCTTTTGTAGTGTAGGTATTTAAGCTTATCCTTTAACCAATTATTTATTAATTTGGCTTTTTGTATTCGCTTTGCATCGTAGTGCATCCATAGTCTACATGGGGGCCATCCATCAGAAGGCTAATTATGTTATGTAATTTTCATGTTCCTGTTAAATCTTTTTCCTTACCTTGAATGAGTTTATCTCATTTTTTTCCATGCATGCTCCTTCCATAATCAGGTTTCTGGCATTCACACTGACGAAAAGCCTCTTACAGTTGATGATCTCCTTAATGAGGATGTTGTTCAAGATGTTCCTAACCGCCTTGTTGACGAACAGAAGCATTCTACTATCGACTCCTCCAGAGCACCATTACGGCCCAACGACATTGTGGAGACTGGCAACTTATCTAAGCGAAATATTCGCAGTGTCAAATCTGGTCCATGTGAGCACAACACACTCGTCTGGCGTCATTTATTGTAGACATTACTTTATCCCATATTGGTTTCTCTTTATTCTGTAAAATCCTAATTATTCGTATCGAGCAGGACATGATAATCTACATGAAGGCCGAGACTGTGTGGCCCTTGGTTTAGTTGCAGTGTCCCTTCTTTTTATACAGTTGACTTGTCCTCATCTCTGAACCTTAGTTATATTCTCATAGAAACTGGCACTATTCAGTGACGTTGCTGGCGAAGTGTCTTGGAATATGCCTAGTTAATT